TAATAATAATAAGAAGACGCATCAGGTGCCGGCTGTCGAGGACGCGCTCAGGATGCGCTCAGTACAGTTCAGACATTGCAGTGCATCAGAGGTAAAAAAAAACAAATCAATGTATAGTCACGAGCCGCAGGGTTTAAATTTGGTTTTGTTTGTGTATGTTTTTTTTTTTTTACTCTCAAAGCCGTGATTCCCATTCACCTCCATTATAAGACTGACAGACTGCAACGGTTTGAGTTAAAAATCCGTGTTTATATCGTTTTTTTTACCTCTGATGCACTGCAATGTCTGAACTGTCCTGAGCACGTCCTCGACAGCCAGCGCGTGACGCGTCTTCTTTTTCTTGCTTTACGGTGGATCGCAGACTTATAAGTGCATTACCGCCACCTATCTCTCAAATGGACCATTGACACTCTATCTACAATCTCAATTAGGAGTGTCAGTGGTCCATTTGAGAGATAGGTGGCGGTAATGCACTTATAAGTCTGCGATCCACCGTAAAGTAATAATAATAAGAAGACGCATCAGGTGCCGGCTGTCGAGGACGCGCTCAGGATGCGCTCAGTACAGTTCAGACATTGCAGTGCATCAGAGGTAAAAAAAAACAAATCAATGTATAGTCACGAGCCGCAGGGTTTAAATTTGGTTTTGTTTGTGTATGTTTTTTTTTTTTTACTCTCAAAGCCGTGATTCCCATCCACTTCCATTATAAGACTGACAGACTGCAACGGTTTGAGTTAAAAATCTTCGTTTGTGTTCTACTGAAGAAACAAAGTCACCTACATCTTTGATGCCCTGGGCGTAAGCAGATCAACATCAAATTTTAATTTTTGGGTGAACTATCCCTTTAAGTCGAGCATGTTAAGACTACCGCTATATTACTTGGTGAGTAGTATTGGTACTTGCTGATGCAGTCTCTTGTTATATTAGCACATGTGTGCTTTATCCTGATTAATAGCTAGCATCTGCTATAGTGACGAGTCGGTGTTATAAAATTAAGATGTTAGAGTTTAGTTTCAGCTATAAAAAATAATTGAGT